TGTCCAATTTTGACTGTAGCAAAGTACTGAACCTGGGCAAGCAACCACTCGAAGAAGGCAAGGAAGGTATGCCAGCCAGGGAGCAGCAAGAATACCAAAGTCAAAACATTAGCTAATGCTGAGGATCTATGTTACACCGAAAGCTACCAGGAGAACAATTCATTTCCCTGCATTCTACCACTGCACTATAAAAGCTATGACCTTCAAAATATTGGCTTTTTTTTCCTTAGGATTCAAAGCAGCCTGTTTCATCCAAGCAGTCCTATAGATCAGGTGATACTCTGGCAAGAGAGTAACAGTCAATAGCCATTTTCCTCAACAGAGCTTTTATTGCAAGAATCAAATGTTGTATTTCTAGTCTCTTCCACATTCACTTAAAGCAATGAAGAGCACTATTTAGAAAATGCTCTCACAGCTGTCGGGGAAGCTTGCTTAAGACTGGAAAGCCAACTTTCTTATAAAGTAAACCTCTTGAACAAGTTACTGAGGAAAGAACAGATCGAAAGTAGAGCAAAGGACAACTCTGAACTTGAAGTAGGCTTATGCTGAGCCAGCAAGGGCACCCCTGACGCTGACAGAAGCCGTACACGTTCGTAACAGGGCTGGCAAAACTGTCCTCAGAAGTATCGTGGTTCAGCTTTGACTGAGATCTCACCTGCTGACTGTTACACCAGACTGAACCCTATGTGAAAAGCAGGCAGTTTTGCCTAAGCAAAAGTGCATGTGGAGGCCGAAGGAAATGGGAAATGAACAGTGGAGTTGGGAATAGTGTCTAACAGGGCTGAGTGCTGCAAAAAAGCTAGCCGTCATGATCTGAAATGCAATGATGGGAGAAGTGGGGGCTGAGAAAAACGTATGGAGTTACAGGAACACTAGCTATATTTATTTACGCTATATTATATTTACTCCGTCTCCAGGAAACATGACCACGGCCTAACATTCAAAGTTTGTATTTCTAGTGTGCTGAAGCTCTCAACAGATTGAGGAGCAGCTCCGCTGAAGAAAGCGACCACATCAACTCTGTGCCTTTGGCAAGCTGGGGCGAGCAGCCTACACCCGAAACAAGACGCTGGATCTGCTTCCGTGCGACAGCCCCAAAGCTGGGATCCACGGCAAGGGGCAGGGTGGGCTGAAGCCTCTGTCAGGAGGCGCGACCCCTCACCGGCCCTTCGGCGGGGGATGGCGCAGCCCCCCGCCCCGCTCGGGCCCCGCTCGGCACCACGGAGAGCTCCCGCTCTCCTGCCGTGGGGACGGGGGGGCCACCCGTGTCTGTGGGGCTGCAGGACAAATCCTGCACCCCCCCCACCCCGGCTCAGCGGAGCTTCCGACTCGAGGGGGAGGCGAGCGAAGCTCTTGCCCGAGGAGACTGACAGATGGCAATCACCGCCTTGGTCTGCTCAAGGCGATCAACCCTCCTGAAAGGGAAAATGGAAAGTTCGCCACCAGGCAGTCATTTTACTTTCAAAGCAGGGGAAAAGCGTTTCACAGACTGTATCTAAGGAATTTGTCCACAGAAAAATTACTCTCGACATCACCAAAGAAAACAAGCAGGGACGGCACAATACGACAAGCTATATGCATGAAGAATGATGCTATCTCCCAAAAATATAAATAAATTATCATCTTGGCAATAAATATGAGCCAAAGCTCGAAAGAACTATTTTTTCTTCCAGGCAAGTTCATTCATAGATCTTATTAATAGTGAACCTGGTTCCTTTATGAACTCAGGAGCAGCAGGAGGAAAAGCATATAAGAAGATTACGTTAATACTATATTTAAGCATATGTAAGGACAGTGAATGAAATACTGATTATTCACTCAATTCAAAAAAAAAACAATCACTTACTAAGAATAGCTTTCAGGCGATAAGAGAAACTAGGCTGCACCAGAAAAAAAAAAACAGACAGAGCTACAGTAGTACTCGCTATCCCTCATTATCCGCATTCATCAGTGCTGAGGTCTATGGAAAGCAACTTTGATATAAAAGCATCAACGGGGATAAACTATCCAGAGGCTTTCAGACTAATGCACCCTTTGCACAGACAGGAAGCTTTTCCAACTCATTATCATCATCATGGAAAACAGCAGAGCTGGGTTTAACATAACTTCACAGATTTTTGCAAAGAGGTTCAAAGACACAGAGAAAAAAAAAAAAATATCAGACATCACAGTCTTTACTACTGTGGAAGGACCTGACAGTTCTCATGAAACAGAGGGGAGGCTCAAGCCCCCACCGGTCCGAGCATGTAAGGTAGGTTACGGATTTAAGAGCAGATTTTCTGCCCTTTCTTGAAAGCTCTTTAGTCTGGGAGACTTTGCCCCTTCGCCTGCACTTTCTCAAAAGCACAGGCATAGACATTCCCAGCCAGATCTCCATGCTCTCACTCCAGTCAGCTGCTCTTTTCTGTTTCGCGTTCTTAAGAGCTGCTAACTCAGCGAAGGGTCCCAGTTTAGCTTCTGATTAATCAAAGGCTGAACGCTCATTAGCGACTGAGGCACAATCCAATCACAAACTTACAGGCGGCGGACGTGCCCCAACAGCTCATCTCTGCACTCACCATCCTCCGAAAGGAGCCCGGGCACCCAGTCCCACCTCGCCCCCCCACATGAGCTGAAGCACAGAGGTGGAGACAGGCAGGAGACTGTCAAAAGCACCTTTCCGATGCAAATCAAAATGCCAGCGTCCACGCCCAACACGTGACTGCCAGGATCACCGGTTTAAGCAAAGCATTAATTTCCAACTCCACTTTGTTATCAAAACACAGTATCACACGACATCAAACTGCAGAATACCGCTTGGCCCTGGTAAGCGGCAGGAGATAAAAAGCATCTGTAAAAATACGACTACAAGAATGTCTGTATAATACACATTAAATCCCAGGAAAGCACATCTGCTCTCAGCACTTGAATGATGACTTTGCTGGCTGTAAGACTAACCAAGAGAGGGGCTGCAGCTCTAGAGAAGGCATCAAAGCCAACGCAGCTGAGAAAATGGAAGTGTCATGCCACACGGCTGCTCTGAAAAGCTTAAGGAGGAAACAAAAAAAAAAAAATGGGAACACGTTTTAGCCTAGCTGGAAAAGATGACTCTGGTTTAATATGGAGTATGACCGTAACTCACAGTTGCCTGTGGCTCCATACCTCTGAAACAGCACCCAGACTGCGCAGACTCCACAGGCAACAGGTCCAAGGGGCTGCAAACCTGCATGGAGTCAGCATCCAAAAGGGGACATTCAACCAGCTTAAAAGATTCAGCTACCAAAACTACCAGCATTTAAGTAAGAAAACAATGCTATTTCTCATAAAGATTAAGCAGCTATCATGAAGGAGATCTCTCCCTACGTAAAATCCCTTGCTAATTTCCGTAGTATGGAAAACCCATCAAACACACATGCTACAAAGTTCTTTCCAGGATGTAAGCTTGACTGAGGGCTGTCAGGATTAATAAAAGTGAGTGAGCACCTGACAAAGGAGAAGTTACCTCCTCCTCCTTTGGTCTCCCAGTGGAAGCTACTTGTGTGTGTCAAGAGAGAGCTTTAAAACCTGAGCAGCAGAGGAGGGCTATAAACCCAGTTCCCCCACAAAGCGAGCTTTATTACACGTTTCTCACAAACGAAGCATGGTTCAGCCGTCGGCTTATGTTCATTCTTCTCATTTTTAAGAGACTTAAAGATACCAGTACTGATCCTCTATCTTTTTCTGTGAAAAACATGGCAGGTCTAAGGACAAAAGCAGTGTTGAAACATGTTATCTTAGTCTGGTTTTGATCAGTATACATTTTTTCCTTACTATCATCCTAATAGCATCCAGGGTGGACCACACCAAGGCTCCATCATCCTGAGGGCTATTCTCTTCCCCCAGCAGTTGCTGCAAGAACGGAGCAAGCCTGCAGAGATATTTTCCTTCAATACTCTCCCAGGTCCCTGGTAATTTCTGCTGCACAAATTTCTCGATTTACAGTCCATACCTTGGTGTTTATTGGTATTATCCCCAGCTGGAGTCTTCTGCTAGAGCTGTCCACATTTATTTTCCAGCTAATCTACACATATGCGCAAACTTTATTAATGAAAACGTAGGGCTGATCATGCTTTTGAATTAAAGATCCTACTACGGTCCTACCAGGAGTCATATAAAGACTTCTTCTTATTAAGTACTCAGTACCTGTGCTCAATATTCGAGGTGACAAATAAAAACTCATTTTGATTCAGAATGGGCAAATAAAACAAAGTTTTATAAAATCTGCATCTAAAGAAAGAAGTCAAAGATATTTTTTCCCCTCTAATAGTTTCCTAGCAGACTGTGCCCAAACATTAGGGTATATTTAAGCAAGGAAAAAGGCAGTGAAAGTTTAAACTTAAAGACTCGTTTGCTAATAAAGATGAGGAGCTGAGTAAATCAATCTAAATAAAAATCAACCTCATATTAGACACACTGAACGCTTTCAGCAGAAATCCTTCAGAATGGAAGAGGCAGGTATTAATTATCTCTGTAAATCTCAAAACTTAACCAGATTAAATAGGGAAAAAAAATACTTCTAGTTGAGGCTGCCTCACAATCCCTATGTAAGAACTTCATTTTCACATGCTGCATACGACAAATAAAAGAAACTAATGTTTTCCATACTTGCTTGTTCTCATTTTGATCAAATTTTAAACAGCTCATCTCTTCCCAGAGCTGATATGACAATATTAATAGCAGAAAGGAGGAGGGAGAGCCATTGGGAAATTAAGAGTGCTTGCGCACGTAGAGTTTGGAACAATGATAAATTGGCATCAGAATAGTCCTCAAGCCTAATATTACCAAAGGCCTATCACAAAATTGTTTATGCGACTTAAAGTATTAAAGTAACAAAAGCAACAGACAGCAAGGTACAACCTGACATGCAATGCCAAACTCATCACCAAACAAGGAAGATTTCTACTTTCCTTTAAATTCAACATACAGTATATTTCTCCCATGTTTTCTTCAAATGAGAATACTCAGGATACTCGGCATCTTACCTGCAAGACTCGAGATACAGGTCCAAGAGCTCCATTCTGTTAGAATCTCTTTAAACTAAAGAATAAATAAATAAAAAAAAAAAAAAGTAAACTTCCTGTTTCAGTATGCCTCACAAAGGAAAAGCCTCAGAAACCAAAATGGAAGAGAACATCAGTTTAAATATCTTAAATTTGTACTGGTTCAAACAGGAAAAAGTCACCACTCTTTAAAACCCCGAGCAGACCTTCCTTTAGCATCTTTGCCAAAAGCACTCTGTGCAGAAAAATCCTGACCAAGTGGTTACGTGGTACCTATAAAAGGACATTTTCCTGGACAACTGCAAAAGCCTTTACAGTGAAATTTTAAATCTTCACTCGTCTCCCTCCCCCTTCAGCCCCAAGGGGCAGGGTGAAGGACAGTACCCAAAACCTTTTGTTTTCTTCTATCACCTATGACAATGCAATATTCCTTGTCAGATCTCTCCTCACCGCTTTCAGAAAGGAAAATAAGAATTTTAAGGAAACAGCTTCTACTGGAACTACTTACGAAACTTGATTTCCTGTTTGTCTCCCTACCATGAAGATCCTCTGATGTCTAATAATATATTTGCACTCAGCCAACAGCTTTTCTCCCAGCAGAGCACTAACCTGAGCATTTCCTCCATGCAGATTCCTGTCTTCACACAATTCCTTGGCACTCATCCGTGACATCTCTACCCTCTCGTCAAATCTGATGGACTTTTCAATGTGTTGACCCATTTCATTCGGCGGCACTGACAGTGTGATGTTTATGCAATGGGAAACTGAGCTCAGGAACATAGAGGGGTGGCAGGAGTTCCCGATAAAAGCATTTGTTCATGAGGCAATCCTGACTTAAAAGCATGGACAGCACCCTCATTTTGAGAGACAGAAACACGAAGAGATCTAACCCTACAGCATCAAGGAAGAAGTTTCTCCCCAGGGAAAACAAATCACCATGCCTCTTCAAGCACATAAGTAAAAAAAAAAAAAAAATTAAAATTAAATTAAAAAAACAACACATCCCACAAAGACATAAAACCATAACACCGTCCTATCAAGTATAAAGGAAAGAAGCTTCTGGCCTCTGAGCTCCCTGGCACTTCCACAGATGCCTGGTACCGCACAGAAAAGCTCAGTAGCAACCAACTTCCCCAACACACACACAATTACCGAAAGCAGCCCGACATTCCCAGACCCCTCTAACCAGCAGACACCCACCGAGGACACTTCTGTGAGCAGGTTATTCCCTGGCGCTGTTGGCAGCGTGCTGGCGGTGCATCCGAGGGGACAGCACTGAGTCACAGCCCCTGGCAGCCAGCACTGACTCAGCCCCACACTCCCCGCTGGCACCGGGGGGCTCAGGGTAACCCAGAGCGGCAGCTTCTGTGGGGGAGACGAATTCCCTTCGCACGGGGACGGACGAACGCTGCGGCTGACCCAGAGGCAGAGAACGTAAAAAGATCCCAATTCCCTTTGCAACCAGATATCCTTGAGAGGACGGCTGTCTGAAGCATCACTCCGAGACAAGCTCGGCTCCCAGAGTAATATCAGTTACGTGCGTTTCTTCTTTTCTTTTTATTTATTATTTTTCAAATGCACAGATGCGCTGCTGCTTTGCTCAGCTACAGACCCTGATACTCACAGCTGGCTCCTGCCAGCTCCCAGAGCCTGCTGATGGCTTCTTCAAGGAATCAACTTGCAAAACCAAATATTTCTCGTACCTACCATACAAAAAACATTCCCTAAAAAGATTGAAAAAAAAATGCACTCTGTTGTTAAATGGTAGGGAAGAGCAAAACACAGACACATTGTATGCAAACAGGAAAGAAACTGGCTTTAAAATGTCATTTCATTTGCTTACATAATCAATTCACCAAGATTTAGGGGTTTTTTGGTCATGCAACACTTCTACTATAAAGGTATTTCCTTTTAAACCAAGGTACATAAATAACACCTTCTACTGATAAATACAGGACAAAACCACAGTTTTAATCTTTGGTACTTAAACTTAAACTGAAATCCATAGTATGGCAGCCGGATGGCCTGACTTTCAAAGGTGCCAAGCACTTACCGGCTTCAGAAGTTGCAGAAACAGCAAGTGCTATGCATCTCTTCATCAGACCACGTCCTTAAACGTTCAAGCAAAGATCCTCACCTAACGTGTCAGGGTCCCGCGCCCACTGAACTGACTTCAAACGCAAGAGGCGTCAACCTGACCAGCCACGCTCACTGCCAGCACCCAGGGACAGCCTGTTTCAGCCTTGCCTAAAACCACCCTGGCACAGAGAAGCACTAACATAGTCATTCAGCCCCTGCGGCCAGAGAAACCCTCTCCTCACCGGAGGCACACCCACCACTGCCATCCCCAAAACTTCCTCAGGTCACAGATGTCATCCCCAAAGCACCAATGACGAGTCGCTTACAGGGCAGGTTGTATTCCTGGTCTGTCCCACGGCTCTCCCACACGAGTGTTTAACAGGAACCCCTCATTCCCATGCAGGATCTCTGACCAGGTGACTGCGAACAACCAAAGGCACTGGTGTGGGGTATGCTGAGCACAGAGATGAGTTTGCTGGAGAGCAGCAGAGCCTGACCTGGTTGCAGTCCCAAACTGCGACGATGTGCTGTCTGAGCTAATAAGTCCCCCCACTTAGAAGGTTTTACTTACTTAAATCAAAACATGGTGGCTTTTAAAAGTTAAAAAAAGTCCCATTTGCATATAATAAACAAGATAAAAGTACTCAAGAAGACTTAGGTGCTTATAGCAAGCAATAGGCCTGCCGCTGAAGGCTTAGGGCACCGCATTTCCATTCCCAAACCACACTCAGCCCACAGAGGGGCACTAAGCTTTCATCAGAGCAGATAAATCTGAATATGCTAGGGGCAAATATAAAAATGGCCTGAGGTCTGCGAGCACAGTATGAGCAAAGCTATGAGACCTCTCCTGTGCCAAACACTAGGCACAATGTCCTCTACAGTACCTTCTCAGAAAACGAATCTTCATAAAAGAAATTTTCCTCCTGCTGAAAGAGCTGGGCTGCTCTCCCTTGAGCTGAGGAGTCAGTGCTTTCACACACACGGCACACCAGAGAACCCTCGGCCAGCACGCTGCCTGATGAAAAGAAACTTTATAAAGCATGTGTGCATGAGGGGATAGGGCCACAGCTCATCCATTACACCCCGATAAGCCATACGGCAAAACGTGAGAAAGCTCATCGCGCAATCCTTTAATTACTGAAAGCCAGAACTGCACCTTCATGCAGCTGTGCCTCAGCAAACTTGGGGAAGGCATCCCGGGAGGCCGCGCTTGCAAAGCCGAGCGCTGTGACAAAGCGTGCGGGGCAAGCACAGCGGTGCAGGCAGTGGGACCACGGTCACACCCGAGCTGCTCTCTCCTCATCGCACGAAAACCGTGGGCTCACCAGCACAGACAGACACCTGCCGATGGAGCTCTGCGCTGAAGGAACTGAGGACGGTCCCTCAAAGCAGCAGTGGTGCACAGTCACCTGTCCAAGCTAACTGCTGGCCGCATTTCTGTGAACATGGCAGCGTGCAGAGCATGAATTTCACAGAAAAGACAGGTCTGCTCAACCTTGGGCTGTCAGAGAAGCGTTGGGAAGCTTTCTGTCCTCTGGTGCCAGCCCCAAATGGCGAGGGTTACTGAGCTTTTCCTCTGATCGTTGCACAACTACACGCCGTAAGGGCCAAGAACCACATTATTTGTTACAGAAAAAAAAAAAAGTTAAACAGACAGAGAATTTGGCAAAACCCCACAGAGCATCTATGTTGGACATCCTAAAAGCAACAACAGCCATTCAAGACATGACTGTTTATACTACAAGACTCATTACACAGGAGGCCTGCCTATTTTTAGAGGTAGATATCACTACAGTTGAGTGCTAGATAGACCTAAACAATTATTTTAAAAGGGTGTTCCATCACTAATTATTCTAAACATCTTCTGCACTCTGTAGGTTGGCTTACTGCCGCTCTCCAGTGCTCAGAAAACGATGCTACGACTTCACTTGCGTGATGCTCAAACAGTGGTGACAGATAACTCACAGAGCAAGCGGCGTGTCCATACGAGTCCAACAGCCAGGGCGAGCTCGTCACTGCTTGTGCACGCCAAAAAAAAAAAAAAAATAAAAAGACCATAATCTTTTTGTTTATGATACAGAAAACAGGAAGTTTTACTTTGCCAATGAAAAATATTCCGCAAGGAATGAATGTGCTACAAACAGTGGTGAACACCCTTGAGCAGCAGCACCACACTCAGAGCCCCAGGACTCAAATGTGATACCGAGCAATGTAGAAATAGGAACCATGGTTTGCTGCTGCTTGGAAGAACCGACTGGAGATGGAGAAAAAAACAACCAAACAAAACAAAACACCAGAGGTTAAGCTTCTGCATGCAGATGTACATGCCTGAACTAAGTAAAAGCCCAGGCCTATCATGTTTCTAAGGACTAGCCCGGCTGCTGTTGGCTGTACCACTCGTGGATCTATTTTGTGGTTTCACCAGACTGAGCCCAGAGTCCCGACGGCTTCTCAGGCTCCTCTCCAGCCCAGGGCCACCAGCACTCCCTCGCCCTCGGCTCTGGGAGATGCCGGGCAGAAAGCAGGGCTGGATCAGTCCAGCAGCCCCCCCCTCGGCCACGGGCCAGCCAGGCACCCTCGGGGGGGGAACCCCAAGGGGTGCCTCAATTTCCCGAAATGCACGTGAACGTTATTATAAGCAAACCAGCCTTTTTACACGAGAAACAGATATTGTGACCGCAGTTTTGTTCCAGCGTAGCCCAAACCCCAGCCAAACCCAGGAGGAACCACAAAACCCAAACCCACCGGGGGGCCAAAGCAACCAAATGGCACGTTAAAATAAATAAATAAGTGGATAAAAAAAGGGTTTCTCGGGTATTTTAAGGAGCCGAGGGAGAGAAACGCTGCGAGGGGAACCCGCGTTTCACGCCCCAGCTCCTCTCGCAAGGACGTGCCCGCCTTCCCCGCTGCAGCGGGCGGGCAGCGGGGCCGGGGGGGGGTCCGGCCCCGGAGGGGACA